ATGTATGCATATCATCCTTGTTCATCTCATCCATTATAACTCATATTGCTCATGCTTACTTAAACTTTATCAAGTTATCCCCTAGTGATGTTAGCTTGTTAGCCTTCATCCTTCTTTTTTTATTTTGTTACCTAAATCCAAAGGAAAGACTTCTTTTATTGACTTTATGTCATAAGTAGTTTAGTCTCACCCTAACTACCCCTCTGGACCTTGTTAGAGTCATTAACCTTTTAACTTAGTCTTAGGTTAGAGTTTGTAAACTATATGTAAGTGTTATTGTTATAAACACTTACCTTCCCTTTTGGAAACTTGATCACTATCAAGTGTTATTCACTGTTTAGGTGAATTATGATTGCTCTAATTATATCCTTGTTAGGATACGTAGGCACAAGACTACAAAGTCTTGGTGAACATACTTAATAAAACCTTTAGGCCTTTCCCTATAGAACATTTACAGTCAATAGCAAACAATAACATAACACAAATACAAAAAGATGTTCCTATAGAGTACTATAGGTACTTAGGGTGCTAATACCATCCCTTAGTATAACCAATCTCCGAACCTTTAGATCTATTTGCATTGTTGTTACATTGCACAATTAGGATTTTCTTCGATCTTTTCTCTTTCCTTTGGATAAATTAAAGTCTGGTGGTGGACATTCAATATTTTATGATTCAAGTTAATACAATAGCTTGGTATCTGATTCTCACCGCAACAATAAGCTTTACAATCTTGAAACAAGATTGGCCACCAAAAACCACTTTATAACACCTTAGTTGCAGTCATTTTCCTATTATGATGGCTTCCATAAGCTATATTATGACAGTGCCACATATGTAAGCGAAAATATTCATGGATATTATATGAGATTAAAACATCAATACTTACTTGTTGAAGTCAGATTCGGAATTCCGAATGGATGAATGACCGGATCTTCCTCTGTATCTCACACTCCCGTTCATAACTTTCAATGGGGCAAGTTATGAAGCCGTCAGTTATGTTTCTGATTCTTTTTTGTGATTACAGAGGGGACCTAGCCATATAATATATATAACCCTAGTCCCTACCCATTATGGGCCCAAGGTTAAAGCTCACACTTTTACCCACACCAATTAGGTTTCAGATACTCAGCCATTAGTTAAAAATTGATCACTTAATTAATTAAAGGGCTTATATATGCACCCCCATCAGAATCACGATTAACCCGTTTTTTACAAATTAAACCACAATTAATTGTAGCCCATAAAATATTAGATAAATCTAACGTTCTCCCACTTGGACAAAATCAATTGTATGATTTTTATTTTAAAATACATTTTGAAAACGACTCTCGGGTTAATGACTAATTCCTTAAAATGCGGCCCATTTTAAGTAAATCCATGATTCCAGGTGCAGTATCTGAATATGACTCCATCCAACAAAAGTTAAGCAGTATTGAATCACGATGATTATTATGTCCTTCATTGACATAAAACCTTTCGTGGTTACAAATACTACATACTTCGTTAACTAGTCATCAGTGTGGAGTGTGACAAGAAAATAACATGCTAATGTGATCCAACAACCATTTGCTATTTTCTTCGTCAGTCCTTAACAATTTCTCTCAAATGCATTAAACACAAAGAAGTTGTATGGTTTTACAAACCATAATGCCTCAGCTTCAATATGGCGTCAACCACCGGTATAGTGGTCCCGAAGACACCGAGCTCAAAATAATAACCATGCCTTGAACTCCAAACTAGTGTCGACCATAGGCACAATGGTTTCGATGACACTGAGTCCCAAATTTAGCAATTTACATGTAAATAAACAATGACAAATGATAATAATAATAATAATAATCATTGTAATATCAATTGTTTAAAATAGAAAGTACTCGACAATCCAACATTTAAAGTGTCTAAAATAAAATATAACATGATAAAAGAAAATGACATAAAGAACAAACTCTCTGACACCTCCATTGTTATCATATTTCATGTCTGTGAGTTGTTTCATTAAACATCCAGATTCAGCATTATCAGATAGCTGAAATCTCTCTCCAATAGCAGTAAGATACTCTATAGCATTCTCTTTTTCAGGCAACCCACTTATCAGATGTTCAAAAATTGTTCTCTTCATAGCACACAAGCTAAGTCGATCACTCCTCTCCCACTTAGCTAATTTTTCTTTCTCTTCGGGTGTACTCTGATCATTGATCACAGGTTTGGTTTCACGCAATGCCATGTCAAGGTCAGCAATCTCTAACGAAAACTCTAAGTCTTTCTTCCATTTTTTAAAATTAGACCCATTCAGGATCTCAATAGAAGCAGAACAATTGTTCATAGAGAAGGTCATTGTTTAGACAAAATAGGAATGCATTAGAACAAATAATAAAGGCAAGATATAGCTTTAATGAACATAAGCTATCACTAAGAGGCCAACATTATCACACAATCCCCTTTGGGTGGAATGCGTAAAACTCAGGTTAGAACCAAGGTCAGAACCTCAGATGAGTCGCTCAATGAGCATAAATTGGGTTCGAAAATCTATCTCCTTTGGGTAGATAAATTCTCTAAACCAAAACACCTCCAATAACTTCATCTACAAATTTCAAGAATAAGCTACTCAATGAGCATACATTGAGTTTAGAAATTTATTTCCTTTGGGTAAATAAATCTCTTAGACCAAAGCATCTCCAATAATTATATCATTAATCAACCACAATCTTTACATACAATTGTCCACCTTTGGGAAGACAATCACAGTAATGACTTAAAACCATTCCTCAAACTACAAAGAGACTTTTACAAATTAAAATGAGCGATCTCACTTTGGTGGTAATCACGCACAATAATTTATAGAATTTCTGGCATAGGAATTAAAAAAAAATTCTTGCCAAAATAAATCATGAACCAATCATGAATTTAAACCATATAACATTCCTAATAAATTTTGTCTTCAACAGTATCAATCTCTCAATATTATAGAGATATTATATAATATTTCAAAATACTTGACAAAACAAATATATTACAAATTTATATAAACTAACATTTATTTAATAAAATGTCCAAGACAATACAATAAAAATTTAGAAATATATAGTACATATTGTCTTGAAAATAATTAATCTAGTTAATTATATATAATTCAATTAGCAATACATAATTTTATATAATACTGTATTGGCGTGAAAAAATTGAACAAAAGAATTTAGAAGTGGCTATTAACTTGGAATTGTTCTATTAATTTGCAAAAGAAACACCAGATAAACAAAGTTACCGGCACTATTGACGGCATTCACGTATTTTGCATTTCAGTAACCAAAGAATCATATATATTGTTTTAATTGATCCAAAATAAAGGGCAATTGAAAAATAACGTACTATCAGAACACTATTACTCATAGTCATATTATTTATGGAGCAGTTCTGTAATGGTAAAATTTATTACGACAATAAAAAAAATAATACCATCAATTCGTATTCACAAAAATAATAATAAATAATTGAGTCCTAACTCATACAATCTAGGCTCTGATACCAAATGTAAGCGGAAATATTCACGGATATTATATAAGATTAAAACATCAATACTTACTTGTTGAAGTCAGATTCAGAATTTCGAATGGACAAATGACCGGATCTTCCTCTGTATCTCACACTCCCGTTCACAACTTTCAATGGGGCAAGTTATGAAGCCGTCAGTTATGTTTCTGATTCTTTTTTGTAATTACAGAGGGGACCTAGCCATATAATATATATAACCCTAGTCCCTACCCATTATGGGCCCAAGGTTAAAGCCCACATTTTTACCCACACCAATCAGGTTTCAGATACTCAGCCATTAGTTAAAAATTGATCACTTAATTAATTAAAGGGCTTATATATGCACCCCATCAGAATCACGATTAACCCGTTTTTTTACAAATTAAACCACAATTGATCACTTTATAACACCTTAATTGTAGTCATTTTCCTATTATGATGGCTTCCATAAGCTATATTATGACAGTGCCACATAATGTTATCTCCTCTATAAAATTTATTTATTAATAGAGGAAAAATGTGTGTCTTTTAGTAAGAAGAAACAAAAAATTTTATAGTTTCTCATTCAAAATTTCATGTATAGTAAATCTCTAGATTAAGGGCAAGTTTATTTTATTTTTAAAAAAAGTTATATTTTCTTTATATTTTTAAATATAGTTTTTATGTTTTTTTAAACTTTCTAGATTAAGGGCAAGTTTATTTTATTTTTAAAAAAAATTATATTTTCTTTATATTTTTAAATATAGTTTTTATGTTTTTTTAATATTGAAAGTTTATTTAATTCAGTTTTTATAAATTAAAAGATAAAGTTTAACATCCAATACCATAAATATATATTATAGATAAATAAAACTCAGTGAAAACTACACATTTTTGTATAAAGATATACTTTAAAAATGTTTTTTTTAGTGAAAAACAATTCAAACATAATTATACTTTAAAAATTTTAAAAATTTTAAAATCCAAAAAAATTATAATAAAATGTTGAAATCTCTAAAATAATACTTTATGAAAAACTATTCAAACCAATTTGAAACTTTCTTTAAAAATATTCTTTGTAAATTCTTGAACCCCAAATGTGGGCTTGGTTGATTAATTAGTTAATGTGCCTTTTCATGGGTAGGTTCTTGCTTCAGTACCCAATTAATGCATCTTTTACTTGCATTTGTCTTCATCCCCTTTAAGTTTGTGGGAGAGTATAGAGACATAGAACAAATAGTTAGTTAATGTTTGCTAGAGGAGGTTAGGAATTTGTTAGAAGTGGAATGTGTCACACTCCCATCCAATGTTGTGATATTCACCTCAAAATACAATCAAATATTGTAATTATTAATAGTAGAAGAAGAATCAATAGACATCACAACATTTCTGTGATATCAAAAGAATATCAAAAGGAAACCAAAGCTTAAGCCATGTTCACCTATCTACAATATTCTCTTTCACACGAAAACTTCTATTCACTATTCTCTATGTTTTTCTTCACTATCTTTCCACTCTTACTCTCTCTTTTCTTCATAATCAAGTATTGGTATTATTACAACAATTCTTCTGTCATCACAAAAAACCCACCACCTTCACCTCCAAGACTTCCACTACTTGGTAATCTCCATCAACTTGGCTTATTCCCTCACCGCACACTCCAAACTTTATCACACAAATATGGCCCATTAATGCTTCTTTATTTTGGCAAGGTTCCAGTACTCGTGGTTTCATCTGCTGATGCAGCAAGAAAAGTAATGAAAACTCACGATTTGGTCTTCTCAGATAGGCCACAAAGGAAAATCTTTGATATTCTTTTATATGGTTCCAAAGATGTGGCATCTTGTGCATATGGCGAGTTTTGGAGGCAAATAAGGAGGCTCAGTGTGTTACACTTACTGAGTAATAAAAGGGTTCAATCTTATCGTTGTGTTAGAGAGGAAGAAACTTCAAGAATGATGGAATATATTAAGGAATATCCTTCTTCTTCCTTGTCGCCGTTGAATTTATCCGAGGTTTGTTCTACAGTTACAAATGACATAATTTGTAGGGTGGCTTTAGGAAAGAGATATCGTGAAGGAAGAGGGATGAAATTTCAGCAAGTGTTGTTGGAGTTTGTGGAGTTATTGGGTACTATATGCATAGATGACTATATACCTTGGCTTGGTTGGTTGGGAAAAGTAAATGGTTTTTATAGCAGAGCTGAAAAAGTAGCCAAATATTTGGATGAGTTTATAGAAGAAGTAATTGAGGATCACATTTTTCGTAGGTCTGATGGAGATGTTGATGTTGACGATAATGAAGAGCGTAATGATCTTGTCGATGTTTTGCTTTCGCTTCAAAAGTCTAATGCTATTGGCTTCCCAATTGATAGAACTGCAATAAAAGCTCTGATATTGGTAAGAAAAAATATTATTCATTTAGATGTAAAAGATTTGTTTGTTTTATATTCAGTTTGGTAGTGTAAAATGTAACTAACATTGTGCTTTTTCCTTGCATGAAGGACATGTTTGCGGGAGGTACTGACACGACTTACACGATACTAGAATGGGCGATGACAGAACTATTAAGAGACGAAACTGTTATGCATAAATTGCAAGATGAAGTGAGAACTGTGGTTGGTAACAAAACTCATGTATCTGAAGAAGATTTGGTTAACATGAACTACTTGAAGGCAGTGATCAAAGAAACCCTTCGTCTTCATTTACCGATACCCTTATTAGTCCCTCGGAGATGTATGGAAGATATCAAACTAGATGACTATGACATTGCAGCGGGAACACAGGTAATTGTCAATGCTTGGGCTATTGCAAGAGACCCTTCAACTTGGCACCAACCTCTAGAGTTTAAACCAGAAAGGTTTATGAATAGTTCAATAGATTTTAAAGGAACGGATTTTGAACTTATACCATTTGGAGCTGGAAGGAGGGGTTGTCCTGGAGTGTTGTTTGCTATTGCTGTGAGTGAATTGGTGCTAGCAAACCTTGTTTGCCAATTTGATTGGAAATTGCTTGATGGAGTAGCTGCGGAGAATTTGGATATGTCTGAAACTTTTGGCCTTGCCTGTCATAGAAAATATCCTCTCTTTGCAGTGGCTACCAAATATGAGAAAAAATGAATATACATTCATAAAGAAATAACACATGACTAAGGATAAATAAAGATGTGCCATGTTATGTATTAAATAAATATAGTAGTTTTATAAGGGTTCAATCTTTGAAATTCAATGTTTAATAGTTACATTGGAGTTTTCCATTGCGTAATCATATTCCGTGTTTTCATTATCTTAGCTCTGTTGTTGGGGCTGTTCTGAAACGATACGAAAAAAAAGTGATTGATTTTTTTAATTAATTAATAAGAAAAACACATAGCAAAAGAAAAGAGAGAAGAGAAGAAGAAGACAATTTAAAGTGGTATAAAATTAAATTCTTGATTCAATTTTATATTAGAGAATAATATTTACAACTGAATCTCAATCACACCACTTTTTACCGCTGATTAGAATTATCAAAGATTTATGAAGAAGTGAGAACTAGTATGCTTTTTATAAGAAAATTAAACCATAACTTTCAAATAACATATTAAACAATTGGTCCAACAGACTGACTCAATTCAATATGCTAAGTTAAATAGCAAGCCAACGTATTTCTGCATGGAACAACGGATTTTGACTATCGCATGCACATCTTTGACTACTGTAGAACTATGAAGCTAACTTTGTCGAGACTAGAGTTCGATCCAAATACTACAAATCTCCATCTTGAAACAAACTCTACACTAACAAGGGAACAAACTATCTTTCATCATGTGGCTTCATTAACTGCATACAGTGGAAGAACTTGTTACTCGACAAAGTCTTGATGATTATATCAGCAACATTGTCATCAGTCGAAACCTTCAGCACATGTACTTCTCCACGTCGATTATCTATCTGATGAAATGCAGCCCCACATCGATGTGCTTGGTTCGCTTATGATAGGATGAATTCTTCGGCAGATGTATAACACTTTGACTATCACATTTAACAATGATAACTTGACCTTGAAGTTTCAGCTCCTTAGCAAAACCTTCAAGCCACAATGCTTCTTTCACAACTTCAATGAGGGAAATATACTCTGCTTTAGTGGTTGATAAGGCAACAACTTTCTGAAGTGTTGCTTTTCAACTGATTGTTGCGCCAAACATAGCGAATACATATTCAAAAATAGATTTTTTAGAACCCATACAACCTGCATAATCAGAGTCGACAAATTCTTCGATTTCAACTTTGCTATCATCACCACAGGTTCCATCATAAATCAGGACTCTGCTTAGAGACTCATTTATGTACCTTAAAATCCACTTCAATGTTTGTTAGTGTGTCGTCCCAGGATTGGCCATATACCTGCTTACAAGACTCACTGCATATGCTATGTCTAGCCTCGTACAAACCATAATATACATCAAAGAACCTACTATGCTAGCATATGAGATGTTGTTCATATAGGCTCTTTCGAATTTAGTATAAGGACTTTGAGTCGAACTCAGCTTAAATTGATAATTAGTCGGTGTTACAATAGGCTTAAAATTCGACATACTAAACTTGTCGAGAATCTTCAGTAGGTATGTCTCTTGAGATAAGCATAATCTTGATTTCTTCCTATCTCTTTGAATGTCAATCCCAAGAATTCTAGAGGCAGCTGCCAAATCCTTCATGTCGAACTCCTTATCGAGTTTAGCCTTCACCTTCATAACATCATCGACAGTGTTTCTTGCTATGAATATATCATCCATATAAAGCAACAAAATAAAAAGTGAATTCCAGGTTGAAATCTGAGGTAAACACAGTGGTCGAACTGCCTCTTAGTTAAACTTATGTGTGTCATGAACTTGTCGAATCTCCTATTCCATTGTCAAGGAAATTGTTTCAGGCCAAATAACGACTTATACATCTTGCACACATACTATTCCTATCCCTTTTCTGCATACCCTTCAGGTGTCTTTATTAGGATTTTATTCATCTAGATCACCATACAGGAAGGTTGTCTTCACATCCATCTGTTCAAGTTCTAGATCGAACTTTGTCACCATGGCTAACAACATTCTAATGAATCTATGCTTTATAACAGGTGAGAACACATCATTGAAGTTGAAACCTTCTTTCTGAGTGAATCCCCTAGCAACCAACCTTGCCTTAAATCGCTTATGTTGGAATAACTGTCACCAAAAACAACGTTGCTCATATTTCCATTGTTGCCTTCATTACTGTCAAAAAAATGTTATTATTTTCATCAGTGTCGTCATTAATGCCACTGTTTATGACCACCGACAATTCTTCTTCTACACCATCTCTGCGACCACCATTGTTTCCACGACCACCGCCGTTTCTGCGGCCACCACCGTTTTCACGGCCGATGCCCGACTCAGGTTGCGGTTGTTCGCCATGGTTGGATCCGGTGTAGGCATGTGATGGGGAAGGCCATTTTTTGATGTTATTCTCCATAAAAGGCTAAATGGGTACGTGAAGCAGGTCAGGTAAGAAAGAGGAAATAAAATATTGTGGAAAGCTTTATAGTGACCTCTAACCCAGTGCTCTTGATACCATATTGAAAAAAAGAGAAAAGTTGTTGTATTTTATTCCTCATCCTTAGGCTAGTTTATATAGAGAAAATATAATTATTACTCTTGATTTTCTCCTTAATGGAGAACAAAGGAAAATAAAGAAAAATAAATATAGTATTAAAAGAAATAATAAAACCAGAAATAAAATATTTTCTAACACAACCAAATACTTCAAGTCTGTCGTGATTAGGTGGATATCTCGACCAGAATTCTTTAGGTGTCTTCATCCCCATAGCAGTCGAAGGACACCTATTTATCAAGTATGCTACAGTCACAGCAGCCTCGGCCCAAAACACCTTCTTTAATCTAGCACTAACCAATATGCGTCTAACCTTTTCCAGAATGGTTTGATTAAACCTTTCAGCCAAACCATTTTGTTCTTTCAATACTTTATTATCATCAAAACCCAAAGGATATATGTCATGAACAAATCTTGCTCAAACATCAAAGACTTAGGAGTATTGAAATACGTCTTGGGATTTAAAGTTGCTCGAACTCATGATGGAATTTCACTTTACCAAAGGAAGTATTCTCTTGATTTAATTCATAATGCAGGTTTAATTGGAGTCAAACCTTGCAATACACCAATGCAACCACACTTATAATTGCACAAAAAATATGGCCAACCCTTGTTAGAACCTAAAACTTATAGGTGTCTGATTGAGCGACTATTATATCTCACTCATTCAAGACCTGAAATTGCTTATGCAGTAAGTAGGCTGAGCCAATTCCTTGATGCCCCTATTGATAAGCATATTTTGAAAAGTCTAAATGTGATTCACTGTCTAAAAAACCACCAAGGCCAAGGACTGTTTTCCGCTCATCATCCACACTATGTCTCAAAGGGTTTTTAGATTCTGATTGGGGAGCTTGCCCTGATACTCGAAGATCCATATCAGGCATCTATTTCTTCCTAGGAAAGTCACTTGCCAGCTGGAAAAGTTAGAAGCAAAATGTTATGTCCAGATCTTCACCTGAGGCAGAACATCGAGCATTGGCCCAAGCAACATCTGAAGGTTAATGACTTTTATATCTGCTCAATGATTTTCAGCTCTAACACGATATGCCTATCATCATCTACTATGACAATGCTTCAGATTTGCACATTGTTGCTAACCCAGTATTTCATGAATGGACAAAACATATCGAGATAGATTGTCATGTGGTTAGAGACAAAGTTCTAGCAAGCCCAGTCCACTTAATGCCTGTCACTTCAAAGGAGAAGATGACCGATATACTCACAAAATCTCTACATCTTACCCATTCTACAACTTACAAAGCAAGTTGGGAATGATTGATATTCATTCTAACTTGAAGGAGGTTGCTGAATGTAAACACACAGAGAGAGAGAGAGAGAGAGAGAGAGAGAGAGAGAGAGAGAGAGAGAGAGAGAGAGAGAGAGAGAGAGAGAGAGAGAGAGAGAGAGAGAGAGAGAGAGAGAGAGAGAGAGAGAGAGAGAGAGAGAGAGAGAGAGAGAGAGAGAGACCTCATGTACTTAACTCCAACTATTTCAGTTTTGACAGTTGAAATACATCCCTAGCTAATTACTTGTTATATAGCTAGTTTTGTGAGTAATGAATAAAACATTTATCCATCTTCTTCTTTCTTTCATGACCATGTTTCATGCTTAGCTCAAGCTTTATCATAGTCAAAGTTTAAAATCATTTAAAATTATTTCAACGGCAGAAGAAATTTTGGGATAACTAGTATATTATGTTTCTCTTTTTAATTTGCTTTACGATACTATTTAAAATTATGCTAGAAAACTATCAATCACAACTTATCTAGAGTAAAATAGGAAAAATATTCTAAATGGTATTAAAGTCTCATTGCACTCTAAGATTTGTCTTAAAAAAAATACTCTCAAATATCAGACAAGACCACCTTAACTCCCAAAAGGAAAAATTTTATGAAAAGGAAATATATTTGAAAGACACAATAGTAAATATAAAAAGGATAATGGTATTAGGAACTTCATTATCATCTAGGGGATAGAAATAAATGAGAGAAGTGATTCGAAAGTGTGTCAATCATAACAAGGAAAAGAGAAAGTTTAGAAATACATTCACACCCTAACACTCTTAAATGCTCAAACCCTCCCACTACCACCACACCACCATCACACACACACCCTTGAATTAGATAAAAATGGCTAAGAAGTTTGTTTAAAATGGTTAAAAGTCCACTGCGATTGCTTTAAAATCATTCGGTAAGGTGTTTCAATGTGCATAAAAATATCCTTGAAAGGTAACATAAATATTTTATAATTTAATCCAATGTTTATTGTTCTTTTTATGGATCTCATGACACTATCAATAGTGTGCCAAGACTCTACAACAAATCAACTAAGAGCATAAATGTCGGTTTGGATGTACCGTTTCTACACAATTTTTAATGTCATTATGCCAGAGTTTGTTGGATAATTGAGAAAAAAATAGCATGTTTTGATTTGTGATCATGCTTTAGTTTATGAGTGTTTTTCATTGCCAGTTGGAATAAATTATTAATATAAAAATT